CCTTTCGTGGGCTTATAGGAAGGCCCCCAGGTGTTGGGAGTCCCCAGGCCCATGTCCGATGATCTGTCCTGGGCCCAGCGATAACGACCCCCCCCCCCACCACCACAGGGCAGTGCATTGTTCACAGTTTTTATGGCCTGACACGCCATGCAAGATCAGTTTCCTCCTCAAGGGGATGGGGCCAGGGTGGATAATTTGTATGATCCATTTCTAACTCTTGAGTTTTCTGATTAATGGTGGCAAAATCACCAAGGCAGAGTGTGACCTAGAGACTACATGATATTGTTTATTTAACTGATTGGCATTGAGGCAACAGCTGTCCACATTCTCGATCTGTTTCATACATCCACTTTGCGTGGGAACACTAGGAGAAAGGAAGCAATTTCATAGACTCAGAAGAACTGTCAGTTTAAATCAGTGGTTCTCAACTTCTGGCCCTTTAAATACAGTTCCTCATGTTGTGACCCAACCATAAAATTATTTTTGTTGCTACTTCATAACTGTAATGTTGCTACTGTTATGAATCGTAATTCAAATATTTGATATGCAGGATGGTCTTAGGTGACCTCTGTGAAAGAGTCGTTCGACCGCCAAAGGGGTCGCGACCCACAGTTTGAGAACCGATGGTTTAAATAAAGATTGCTTTCATGCAAGAGTGACACTTAAATGTCTCCTGATTTCTGTTCTTCACAGTTATTCATTGTTCATTATGTATATTATTTATCCTAATCTTTTTAGGGTTAAGGTACCTTTGGATTGTAGTTTGCAAATTTTCCTTCATCCAACTATCAAAGTTTATATTTTTTAAAGAAAATAATTTACTTAATTTTATTTTTGATAGTTTCACAGTAGCCCTTGAGAGATCTTAAATTATCCTGCTTATGTTACATCAGGATTGGAAGTCAGTGGTCTAAGCATTGTTTCAATTACTTGGGCATCTTGAAAATAATTACCGTGGTAACAGTATTTGAGGCTTATTTCTGGACATAAAGGCATTCTAGCATTCACCTCTTACCAATTGTGTTTTTCTGGTTCCTATAGATCTATGACTTAATTTTTCTTTTCACCTTTTCTGAGAGAAGAATGTGATGAAAATACATAATAAAAGGTAATAGATATCAACCAGTGGAATAAACAGAGGGAGCTTACTGCTCAAGGGCATTGTGGGGGAGGAACAAACTTTGCTCTGCCCTCAAGTTTCTTCAGGTTGGACTAATAATGAAACAGACTTGAAGCAGATTAGCAGGAGAAAATAACCAACTTTAATACATACATATGTATGGAAACCCCACATACAGGGGAGATTCAGAGATAGAGAGGGCGGTTGAGGTACAAGACATCCTGAGCGAGGGATGAGGTAATGCACCCTGGGGTCTTCAAAGGGTCATTGCAGGACCATCAGAACAGACTTTTAGTAAATAGAAGTGTGCCCTGCCCTATAGATAGTAAAGGGAGGGGCCAAAGTTTATCTTGAGCCCGAAGCTAAAAGTGCTTTTAGCTTAAAGAGTAATCTGCATATCACAGAGGCATATCTTGGGATGACTCATTCTGGTCCCCCAAATATCATAAATATCACGTAGTAGAAGATACCTGGGCTAGCGTCCATGCTAAGGTCCAGGCAGCAGATCAGAGATTCTTTAACTGTTGTCCAATGCCCTGCCCTATGGCTTTGAGTGCAGATTGCTCATTCTCTTTAGCACCTCTGAGGTCCTTTTTGGACCTAGCAACTAACCTCCTTGGGCCCAGGGGTGGGCCAACTTTTTGACTCGAGGGCCACAATGGGTTCTTAAACTGGACCGGAGGGCCGGAACAAAAGCATGGATGGAGTGTTTGTGTGAACTAATATAAATTCAAAGTAAACATCATTACATAAAAGGGTACGGTCTTTTTTTTTTTTTTTTTTAGTTTTATTCATTTCAAATGGGCCGGATCCGGCCGCGGGGCCGTAGTTTGCCCACAGCTGGTCTAGCCTCTAGGAGTCTATATGGATGACTTGTGAAGCCTCCTCCAGATCTCTGAATCGAGCAGATAACGTTGCTAAAAGACTAGTCTATCCTTTAGAAAATGTATCTCTTTAACTATCCTGAAACAGGTTTTGAGTTTTTAAAGTAATAATGAAAAATAATCTCATGATATTAAGTGACTTTTTTTGTTGTTGTGAGGAGAGGGAAATTTTTTGTTGTTGTTGTGAGGAGAGGAGACGTTAAGTTTCTGCTTTGACCTCTAGTATGTTTTTCTACTTAGGAACCTTAACTGTCTTTTCAAGGGTTTCTTAAGATCCCCTGTAGCCGAACCCCTTGGGGTGTCTGTTTTAAAACCATTTTCTAGACTGTCCCTAACATGTAAAGAATCTCTGAGTGTTCAGCACAGGAATATCTTTAAAAACACAAGGCAAGCCAAAACCGGTTTGGCTCAGTGGATAGAGCATCGGCCTGCGGACTGAAAGGTCCCAGGTTCGATTCCGGTCAAGGGCATATACCTGGGTTGCGGGCACATCCCCAGTAGGAGATGTGCAGGAGGCAGCTGATCGATGTTTCTCTCTCATCGATGTTTCTAACTCTCTATCTCTCTCCCTTCCTCTCTGTAAAAAATCAATAAAATATATTTAAAAAAAAATAAAAATAAAAACACAAGGCAATTCTGATACATATCAAAATTTGAGAAACACTGGTCTTAACCCATGTTGTAGAGATTTTTTTTTTTTCTGAGACAGATTCTCAAATATTTTTCTGCATTTTCGTTTCTGAAAAGCTAGTTTTCAATGTCATGATTTACAGGGTGGGTTTATAATTGTGATGCTCACTGAAGTTTGAGAACTGCTGCCCTGGGGAACTGCCTGAACCCCACAATCTAAATGTGCTGACCTTTAGCTCTTTCTTGAGTCAGTTTCTCATCAGGGCACAAGGGGGAGCTCTGGGATCAGAGCAGGAGAAGCAGAAGCTTGTTCTGAGAAAATTAGAATTTTCTTTAGCATCAAGGCCAATAAAGATTTGCGATTTCCTCCTAATGGTAAAGAAATGTTTACAAAGCCAGATACTTAAACTACTTTTGAAGAGGACTTAATTTGCATTTCTAGAGGGTGGGTACTTTAAATTCTCCAGGAGAGAGAGGAAGGTGCTAAGCAGGCAATTGACTTGAGAAGTCTTTCACACTGATCAAGTATTCTCAGAAGGGAGGCTGACAGATAGAAAAGGATGCTACCCCCCTCCGCCCCCACCCCCGGTAGCACTGTGTCTTGGTAACCTGGGAAAATGTCACAAGACCCCCCAGCCCTGAGAAAATGAGACTGTCTTAACAGATAGTGAACGAGGCAGGAGAAAAGGAGAAATGTGTGCTCTCTGCGTAGCTCATGGAGAATTTAGAGAGAGCAGCAAATTATCGGGACCGCCTGCTAATCTGCAGTTGAATCACCAGCCTGTCTGTTTGGTTTGGCAAATGCAGTTGGTTTCTAATTCCACAAAGTGTCTGGAGGGTGTGAGACATTTTAGATAAAAACTTAGCAGCATGATGTCTGTGCTAGACGAAATCTGAGAGCTGGAGTGGACGTTTGAGATTATCTAGTGCAGCTTGTACCTTGGCCAAAGAATAAATTGCTAACACAATAGGCCACTAATATCCCTAAATAGATGCCCCTCCAGCCTCTGTCTGAAAGGCTTTCCAAACCTCTAATCATGACTCCAGGTGGTTAGAGGAATTGAAGGTTCTCCTTTCATTAGGAATAATTGGACCTACGCACTGTGTCCAAAGTGCTTTCGAAAACGAGAGATGTCTTTCAGTGAAAAGGTTATAAAAGAGCCTTATTAGAAAACAGACAGAGGGAACCAGTTTTACTTGGATAATCGAAATGTCATAGCACATTACAGATCCTTAAGTCAAAACCCATTTGCCATTCACAGTGGGAAACGGGGAAGACCCACATTGTGTAGCTATCAAGTGGCACAGTCAGGACGGACTGATTTCCTGACCGTGTTTGTTGCTCTTTTCGTGCCATCCTGTTTTCATCTCTTTATTTCCCTCCTTCCACTTCCTTATGGTAAAGATTTGCAACGAAGCATGCTAAGCAGAGCAAATATCACATTTACCCAGGGATAACTCAACTGATCTGCATATTATGGGCACCTTCCTTTAATGAGTCAACTTTCCTCAAATACAGTCTTCTTTATTAATGTGAGTTAGAGGGAAAATCAGTATGCTCGCTCTCTCAACACTTACAACCATATTTAACTGCTTGGGTAGTTTATATATCAGCCTAAAATTATTTTGCCAAAACCTCCTTCAAATTCCAAAT